GGTGGCTCCTGGTGATACCTGGGAAACATGGGATACCCATAACCCCTCCGTTCCCTTCCGAATCCCAGCCCTCCAGCTCTCGCCCCGAGTGATCATCAAGAAATCCCAGTAAACATCCCGCAATATCTCTTCCATGGCTCTCCCAAGAAGGACAGGCCCTTGAGCACCGCAAGGAGAACATTCGCACACACCATTTTCCACACATGGGTATAATTCCGTCAGGAAGTGGGCGATCCAGCCAGCGACTCCAGCCATACAAGTACCGTACTGCGCGGCCAGAGAGATGCCTCCATACCGTAATTGTCTACGGCCGCCTGGGGAAGTGCGATCCGGCGGAGGACAAATAAAGCGAGAGCCGAGATGGCTCTGGAACAGCGCGAAACCTTCCCGGTAGCTTGTCAGGACTAAAAGGCATGGATTGTTACTGCCAAGATGCTTCGTGCCGACATACAACGACTGAAGCGAGGGCTCACAGAATGTCTCTACATATCGTGCCCTGTGGGAAGAGGGCTTTCCATGGTACAGTACACATGACTGGGCCGAAATGGGGATTCCATTCGTCATTCAGAGATGCAATCAAGCTAGTCAACGTCCGGTCTTTATACATCATAGGCTATCACTCGTAAAGAGCGGGTTCTTCTGATGCTTCTCGAAGCATCTCTACTGACTAAATGCCTTGCGGTTACGCTGGGCCATGAGCAGTTGACGGAGGACTTTCGCACCCTCCGGTGATGGGGTTTCCGTTATTCCTTTACACGTAGGCTCTGCATTGGCCGGAGCAGAAAACGTATCCTAAGCAACTATTGGATCTCACATTCTCTAGTGGCTTTCTAGAAGATTGGTTGTGCACTCTTCAGAAACTTGGATACACGAGTACCATACGAGAAGGAAGGTGAAAGAATAGGGGAGGAGGAATGAGGGCAAAAGAGGGGGAAGTGAGTGGTATGTGATATGTGCCCCCCAAATGGATATGTGGGGGCATGTACTAGTATAGTACACTACAGCATTCTCGGTACTTTCAGATTTAGTGGTGGCAACGGCCGAGAATGATCCCAGCCCTGGCAGCCATGTTTTATCTTCTCCGACTGCTCCTCTCCAGCCTACGATACCATGCCCCCGAGTAAAAGTTTACGAGTAAGTGAAATTAACCTCGAGAGAAAAGGGTTTCTAGAAGTTCCGGTTGGTCACTTAGGCTTCCTTCAGCTTTTTGCTCTTTTTACTTTTAAACTTTGCTAGTAGGTGTAGAAATTGTGTGAACTGGGGTGTCACTCGCTTAGACTACTATTTGAATCAGGGAGCTCGATCTTTCCTTTCCCATAACTCGGCCCCATCCTATCCCGCTCTATGGAATCCATCGTACGACGGTGTCCTGATCTGCAAAGGGGGTATCAAAAATGCGCTGGTGACGGGAAAATGATGACATTTCACCTCGGGGTTCAAGGAAAAGAGGTCTAAAGTGAGCCAAATTACTTTTCTTTTCTTTTCTGCTTAATAATAATAATCCCTTAGCCATAAGGGGAAGATGTTGGGCCGCCCTGACACGAGCATTAATGCAAGTTACTGGAGGCTGAGTCATCTGTTTAAGAGAAGTTTGAAATTCGTAATGCGACAGGACGCCCCCCCCTCCGCCCCAGGTGGGGGAAGGGAGGACTGGTTTGGGCAGCGCTGCAGTCAGGGTGATATTTGGGAAGTAGGGGGAGGGGGATGGCGATTGTTGGGGTTGTTGTGAAGGGAAGCAAAGACCTTTCTCGTGATGTTCCCCCTCCCTCCAGTCTAATCCCCCGATTGGACCGTGAATACTAGCACACCAGCATAGTCCAATAGTGTTACCCACCCTCATCAGAAAGGATGAATTTCTGGCCGAGGACGGTACCATAAAAGGTCCCACCGATGTATCCACTGCATTGCATCGTACTGTACGAGTACCGGGTGCTATACATAGCAGTATGTATGATACCACCACTGCAATCACCGTGCCTACTCACCGTTCTCGAGTACAGTACCTGCTGCCTAGCATGCCAGTCCCAGACCGATCAGTTAACTTAAAATCCAATTCTGACCGTGACCTATTTTTTATTTATTTATTTTTCCTTTTTTTCCTTTTTTTATTTTCTCTCTCTCTCTCTCTCTCTCTCTCATGTTCCGGTCCTCCCCCCCCAATCAAAAAGATGTGACCCGACCGAATGGACATCAGATGCGTGAGTGAGTGAGGGTCATTGGACATGGATATGGATAAGGTGAGAACGGATATCCCATGTCCCCAGCAAAAGGCCGTCTATTGGAAATCTGTGACGCAAGTTTTTCTTTTCATTCCTTACTTCCTTCCCTCCCTTCCTTCCTCTAGCCGATCGAGTCGCACATGCATAGTTCGTGCCGTAATACGATAACACCAGGACTATGATATGACACCCTACTCGTACCTTCCTTCCAGAACGCATAGTGCGGGTACCATGGATGTGCCTTGCCCGGGATTACAGCCCTTTTATCTCTTGGGGGAAAGGCACGAGTACCGTACCATACAGTACAAAGGAGAAGGGGGGGGCAAAAAAAAGAAAAAAGAAAGAAAAGGATCTGTTTCACATTCTCTCTCCCTCTCTTTCTTCTCTTAGACTAGCCCATCTTACAGTTAGTTAATTGGGTGATCCCTTTCATACCACATATTCATCCTCGCCCCCCCCCCCTCCGCCCCCCAGCGGACAGAAACAAGGATTCAGATAAGTTAAATGCCCTTTTTTCCATACTTATCATCCTCCCCGTGCTACCAGGTGTCGTTTCCGGGGCGCAGGAACTGGCGGGCGAACGGCTACTGTGCTAGTACGAGTACAGTACTGTACCGCATGTAACTTTGTGGGTGAGAGCGGTACAAACCGTTTACAAAGAAAACGCTTACTGCATGTACAGTACTGTACTGGCGCTGCACGAGTACCGTACTATCCTGCCCGATTATGATACCTAATGGTTTGGCTGTCGGGTACAATACCGGCAGCATAATAGCATAGCATAGCATAAAAATTGATCCAATAGGAAACTTTTTTTATTTTTTTATTTTTTACCCGCCTCACTTGCCCAGTCCGGCGTCTAACGCTACAGTCATTCCCGGAGGATTCGATCGACATGATATTACAGTATCATCTGGAAACCCCCCCCCCCCCCGCCCCGTTTAGATGGATGGGCATAGGCTCTCAACTTTCTTGTGATAAATCTATAAGTGGATGCTGTGGGGTACTGTACTTCACACTACGGGCGTGTTTGGTGGATTAAAAAAAAAAGAGAAAAAGATGGAGAGACTGATGATTTGATATCGAGTTGGTCCAAGCGATGTCATGTCATAGGGTACCGCCTTTTTCATTTCATAAATTGCGCCAAGTTGTACAAACGCTGCGGAAGCTAGTGAAGGAATATTAAGTCAGCCCGGGGGTGGGGGGAGGGATTTCATTAATTGGGTTGGGATGCCAGTAGTTGTATAGGCATGTATCTTTTCCCACAAATTATGCTGAGAGTACTGCCCACCGATGCGGTGCGGTGGGTCGGTAAATCACCTGCCTACCGCATCAGGCGCAAACTGGCAGCGTAGCTGGGGAAACCCCCCAGGCGGGTATTGTTGTGCCGCGGCGCTATTGTACCCCACGTACAGCTATAGGTGTTTGGGTGTGCGGTTCGGAATGGTTCTGCTTCTGTTCTCCCTCTCCCTCTCCCTCTCCCTTTTTTTGTTGACCCGGGGTCATGTTCGAGATGCTGGGTTCATGGTGATACACTACCGGTATTACCTTCGGTACGGGTATGGGGCTGCGCCGCTCCCATGATCCCATCATGGTTATGGAGGAATTGAGGGGGTGCAGTACGGGTTACGATATTTACCAGGATGGCACCGCACCCGCACCGCACGCCACCATGGTTGATGGATATTTGTAAATCTTGCATAAAGATTCCTTGCAAATTACCATCGCGTTTTTTTTTCTTTCGATTCCCTCGCATACTGCTCGCCGTGGTCACGTGAGTTCGCGGAGCGTGGGTTGGGGATGTACTTGTAGGAGTGTCGGAGTAAATACCGGTACCGGTACCGTGCGATCCGTGTCCCGGTGCCCTGATGGATTTCCTGAGTTTAGCTGAGCCTTGTTCATGGTTCTGGTATGATGGATGGGTATACCAGTACTATGTAGAATACGGTATATCATACACTTGTATAGCCTCTGGATCCTTTTTCCCTTTTCTCGCACGGGTCACCATAGATTTGGGGGTGCTTTACTTGAATATTGCTGTTCTTGGGCCGCATATGACCTTGCACTGGTTCCACTGATCCTTAGGGGGCCCTCAATCGCCCTGAGGCTTGTCGCCTTCCGCTCGATAGTGACCATGTCCCTGTTACCGTATGCCATGCCATGACATGGCTCCACGGGGTAACTCGGACTTCTTCATCCATAGCCGAAGGGGTAACGAGGCGCGGTCAGGAAGCTGGCGTAATACGGCCCCGTATGGCACTCGTACGGTACTCGAGTACCATAATGGTGCCGGTGTAGTGTGGTATCGTATTGGTTCAGTACCGTACGGTACCGGTCACGGAGGTAGAAAGGTCATGGAACCATTCCGGTAGGCCGGCTCTCTCCAATTATCCGAGTGGGTTTTGGGCGGGCGGTATGGTGGGCACCGTGGTCTGGGTTGACCAGGTCACGGCATTGACGGCACTGCACCTATCATGGCAAAACCCTACCGCTATCCGACAACAACAACAACAGCCGACAACTAACGCGCGCAGCCACTTTCTTGAATCTTTTTTTTTTCCAGAGGTGAACCGCATAGCACAAGGCTCGGTCAATAGCGGGAGCCTAACTGACCTTGGGCCCTTTTTTCTTCTTTCTTTCATGCCGCGTGAACGGCCGCATCTCATTGAACCGCATTGCGCCAGTTAACGGTTGTGTGTGAATTTTTTTCCCTTACACCGTTTTCTCATAGGAACATCGCTGTATATCCATTCACACGGACGACCGACCCCCTCCCTCGCCATGCCTCCTCAACGCTTAGTCCGTCGCCAACCCCTGGCCGAGAGGCTATCGAGCCTGGTTAACCCCTTCGACCTCTTCCTTGCATTCTCCATCTGGCTGGAATCTCACGACTGGGACAATTTGCAGAATACCATCAAGAACCCCCTGGGCCTGGCTTTGAACGTACTTTGCCTGATATCGTGCGCAAACTCCAATGGAGCCTACAGGCGTAGCGGCGCCGACGACGTCTTGCGGCGGCCTGCGGGTGGGTACTCAGGTGGCATTAGCAGCGGTGGCGGCGGCGCCGGATGGGGTTCTGGATTATCTTATTTTGTATGTGTATCACCAATGTCAGAGACTGCGAGCGTGGGGATGGCGCATGGCGAGATGATCTCATGTCTCCCCCTCTACGGTCAAGGCTATAGTAGTAGTAACTCATTGTTTTATCGACAGTTTTGGGTCCTGTCGTGGGTTTTAGCCGCTGGGAGTGTTTTCAATGCTGTTTACTGCTTCTCCCGGAAGAGGCGGTATAGACTGTTTGAGAGCAATATTGAGGTATGATATGTATCCCCTTTTTTGTCCTGACCCGCGGGTCCCCCGCCACCCGCTGCTGCACCCTTTTCTCTTTTCTCTATTCGATGATGACAGCGGAACGTTGGCCGTTTTGTTCTAATATTGATGTACCAATGAATGTATAGATCGAGCCTACCACGCCTAGTGCCCGCAGGGTACCTGTGGATTCCTCACCTACCGCCACCTCACCGCTGCGCTTATTCGGTAATATCATGGAGTCCTTCGCGAGCACCCCCGAGTCAAGGTCGCGTCCGGATGAAACTCGCCATGTATGGGAGGTTTCCGTGTGGGACCCAACACCACTTTCCCTCAGGCTATTTGCCATCTTCTCCCCGGTGCACGTCCTCATCTATTTCCTCGCGCTGCCAGTCGCCACATCAAACACCACTTTTTCCAGCCCGGGATTTGCCAATTTTCCCACACCGCTCGCGACGAATACGGTTGGGACCATACTTATGATGCTTGCCACGCAGCTAGCACTTTCGGCGCAATTGATCTATACTCAGGTGTCGTTTACTCAACAAGCGAAGGACACCGCTCTGATTCACAAAGAGGTCCTGCACGAGTATGATCAAAAGTTTGTTCACCCGCGTCTCAACGTTCTCAGGCGAGATGTAGCAGTGCAGACAGCAAGCAGGGAGTCTGGCGAGGGTGCTAGCGTGAGCTTTTTCACGCCGAACCCGAACGGACAAGGGTTCAGGACCGCCCCAAATCCTAATTATGCAGATCTCACAATACGTGACAGAGCTGGCTCCATGAGACACACTCCATCCACACCCACCGGATCACCGTTCTCCCCGATGCCAGTGAAGGGCTCTATGAGACAGCCTCAGTTTGGCCCCGTGAGGAGGTCCACATCAACGTCTACATCTATGAACGACAGCGGAAGCTTTGGCACAGACATTGATGAAGATTACAACAATGGCGACGACGATGCTACAATTGCGTCTACAACCACGGGCCGGGCTGAAGGCCGTTATGGATCCGGAACTCCGAGGATGCCAAGGTCTTCGAACATCGGGATGCACGGTCTTGTTAACATGAGCATGGAGAATAGTAGGAACATTAGCCCAAGTAAGATGAATAGCCCTTTACGGAGAGGATATGCCGCGAGAGGGAGTAGCTACGCCGGCAGCTTGGGTACACCGCTGGGAAGCTCTGTTCGAAGGAGCGCTAACAACGGCTATTGATCTCGTGCGTTATACGGCTAGAATGAAATAAAAATAAAGCAAAGAAAATATAAAACAAGAAACGGCTTACACGACGGATATGAGCTGGACGAGAGTTTTGGCAACGAGGGACAGGACCTGGTCGAGGTGACCCTTGGAGGGGGGTGGCGGGAAGAGTTTTACCGGGGTCAGTTTAAGAGTTTGTTCTGGGGGGAGGGTTGGAAGGGGGTGAAGCATGATTCGGTCAGAGGTTTATATGGTAATTTCGTCTACCGCGGAGCAGGGCAAGGCGGGGCAAGGAAAAAGTGAAGCAAGGGAGGGAGAGAAGGTGCGAATAGGTGAGCAGGGGTCTTTTGGGGAAAGAAGCCGTCGCTTGGTTCTCTTGTGGGATTCCCGATCCGGAGATATATTCGACTGATATCCTACTTGTACGCTTCGTCCGCCCATGGCGAATCCGGTAATGCGGATGCGGATGCGGGAACCGGGTTCGTGTACCCGCACTTGCTGGGCCAGGGGGTGGAAAATTTGGCCTTCTCTTGTCTTCTCCTGCCTTATCTTTTCATAAGATTGCTTCTGGTATTTACTCTCACCAAGTTCCAACCCTTTTCTTCCTTTATTTTTCATGCTTGTCCCGGCGTTCTTCGGTGTGGCTTGGGCTTCGGCGGTTTCTTTCATTGATTCTTTTCTTCGTTTCTGGCTTTCTTTATAGAAGTAGGGGGCAGGGTATATGCGGGAGAAGGGAGGACCGTATAATACGTTACAAGGGAGATATACGCCTTACCGCACTCTGTGATCTATATTGTCTCTCGCGCCTAGTGTTGCTATGTCTTGCTGCGCGGCCTGTAATTATAATGCTATTTTATACTCTTCCTTCCCTTCCCTTTCGCTACTGGTACGTGCCTGGCCATTTCCACCGCCTCCACCGTATACCGGTGGCGCCAGTATGATAGAGCCTACCGTACCCCACTACACCGTATCAGATTTCCTGGGGGGGGATTCTAATTGAGTGGCGTTAGCGGGAAGGAAGACCTAAAGGAAGGGACAAGTCATCAATTAGCAGCCCTCCCTTGGACGGCCGAGTGCTAAACTAGCAGCGATCCGGCAGGTTGGAGAACCGTACGGCGGGTATCGTGAAACCCTCGGCGCACAGGGGAGGGGAGCGGTTGCACAGTATTGTAAACACGGTATCGTACGATGCGACTATTATTTATGCTTTATTGCTTCAGTGGGTAATATAATAGAGGGTACTTGTGCTGGTACGGTACCGTACTGTAATTGAATCGCTCTGCTCTGCTCGGGCACACTACAGGTATGGTACTCCGGAGTACCGTACGAGTGGGTGGGAAAACCTGGGAAGGAATTGGTATACCGGGCTGGAGCGGGATACCTATTTCAAATGATAAAAGACTACGTACCGTACAGTGTACCGGTACCCGCTCCCGTCTTACTCGAGAACATGGGTACCGTGGAGGGAAAGGGATCCGAACTGAGCGTTGCACTGCGGAGAACTCGCCTGAAGAGTGAGGGAGCCAAGTGTCATATCATACGAGTATGATATAGAGTTAATAATTAGGTAAGCCATTTTTTTCCCCATTCGGGGATCATAATGATATTATGCTAATTACAGGGGAGAGAGAAGGGATGACTCACAAACAACTTAGAGAATCACGCATTCGCACTCACCATTTGTCACTTCCCCTCTGGACGCGTCGAGTCACATGCCAAGAGGACAATGATGTAATGAACCTCGTATCGAACGCGTCTTCCGGGAGGTTGTGTTTTTTTCTTCTTCTTCGGCTCACTTTCTACTCGTCGCTTCTGTAGCATTCTAGCAAACACACGCATCCCCACTCTCGCGACCCATCACGCTCTAACATATCAAGCGTTGTAGGAAAAAAAAAAGGTGACGGGAAGGCAATTCTTGTTCCTGTATCCAATTTTCTTCTTCTCCTCTTTCTACTACTTATTCCCGAGCTTTGAAGATGCCTGCTAGGAAGAAGGGAAGAAAGGTTGCACAGAAGAAAAAGTTAAACGCCGGCGGGAGGGGTGCGCCCGTGGCAAGGATAGCCACAACCACGGCGACGACGACGACTAGGAAGCGAAAGGCGACGTTCCCGTCTTTTACGGATGGTCCTACCGATGGGAGTAGTTCCTCCGGTGACAACAGTAGTGGGAGGGTGAGCGATGACGACGATGGGGACGGTTCTGACATTGGCGTCCGGGCATCCGGACGCAAGGGCAAGAGTAAAGGAAAAGGGAAAGGAAAAGGAAAAGGAATAGCGATAGCACAGGTTACAATTGACAGCGGGAGTGATGAGGGCCAGGAAGACGAAGAAGGTGGAGCTGACGATGAGGAAGACGATATGCAATGGGAGGACGTACTAAATGTCATCTCTGCACAGGAGCCGGTGGAGACGGCGGGTGGTGCGCCTTCTTCCACTCCAAATCCTAAGCGGGATCTGGAGCTTACGCTTAATCGCGGTAAGACTCAGCTCAGGTATTTTCCATTTTTCCGATCACACCATGCTATTCGATTCATCCTGACACAGCAACAGCATTAGTAGCTCAAGGAAGAAAAAAGGCGCTTCGGCCGCAGAGCGGCAGATTAGGCTTGTGACACACTGTTTGCACGTACAATACCTACTCTTCCACGGGAGCATACGCAATCGCTGGCTCTGCGATCCGGAGCTCCAGGCTATTCTACTCTCGCATCTGAGTCCTTCGTTACTTCAAGACGTAGAGAGATTGCAGAAAACGCAGGGTAAACACTCCGCTGCTGGTAAAAGCCCGGGAGGTGCGGATCCGGCTTTAAAGGTCCTGGCTAGTCTAATGCATTGGTGGAAGAAACGGTTCACTATCACTCGACCGGGGTTGAGGAAGAATGGGTACAAGCCAATGTCACAGTTTGTGATCGAGAGGGATGAAGTTCTGGCCAATCGGCTGCAAGGCCTATCGCAAGGAGCGGATGGTGGGTTTAAGTTTACTACGGGCCGCACGGACGAGCGTGGAGAGCCGATGTACACGATTTTCAAGGATGAGGGGGAGAGAGTGGAGAGCTTGCAGGAGTTTAGGGAAATGGCGAGGGAGTGTAGTGGGAGTAGGGATGTTGGTGCTGTATTTTTTACGGCCCTGTTGAGGGCTCTAGGACTTGAAGCTAGGATGGTGTTCTCCCTGCAGCCATTGGGGTTTGGTTTCACAGAGCGAGAGACGTTTTCAGGAAAGGTGCATGCTGTAGTAGGCAGTGCTGGGGGAGGACCAGAAGGAGAAAGGGGACGAGTGGAGGGGGGTGTGGGAGTGGAGTGTGAAAAAAGGACTGAGGGAAATGGTAAGAAGGCTGCAGCAAGAAAACCTGCAAGAAAGCCTACGAGAAGGTCTCCAAGAAAGTCTGCGAGAAAGCGCCAGCGCCTAGACGTGGAGTCTTTGTCAAGTGCCCTTGGATCCGAAAGCGAATGGAGCGGTGATAGTGAGATGGAGGAAGACGACGAGGAGGAAGAAGAAGAAGGTGTTTTCGTCCGTAAAGATATGAAAGCTAAGAAAAAGACTCCCACAAAAAAACGTATGTCTTTCAATTTCCGTCTCGTGCACGTCAATGATAACCAAGATGGGATACCGCAGAACTCCCCGAAATCGAGCCCACAACAATAGATCAAGGCCTCCCCTATCCAATCTTTTGGACCGAAGTGTATTCTCCCACTACATCTACCTGGATCACCATAGACCCACTCGTCCTCACAGCACTGGGCTCCGCACCCGACATCCTCTCCAAATTCGAGCCAAAGGGCAAAAATGCCGTCGAATCTAAGCAGGTGATCGCTTACGTACTAGCATATTCTGACAATGGCACTGCAAAAGATGTGACAGTAAGATACCTAGCTAAGAACGCCTTTCCGGGGAAAGCCAAAGGCTTTCGAATACTCCCTTCTGAGGTCCCCGTGTATGATATTGAGGGGGAGATAGTCGCCATGCATAAGCGTGATTGGTTCGGGAATGTCATGAGGGGGTACCAGGTGCGTGGGAAACCAAAGCTTGAGCGGGACGTCAAGGAAGATGAGGAATTGGTTGGGGTTGCTGCGGCTGAGACGAAATCCTTTGCTGGAAATGGGAGGGAGAGTATTGGGTGGTATAAAGATCATCCGGAGTATGGCTTCTTTCTTCCTTCTCATCCTGCCTTACGCCCTTGCCTGACCTACTCTTGCATTCGCCAAGTCCCCTGCCAAATACTTTAAATGCTTGCTACTCTTTACTGACACCTTATTCTTCTAATCTTATCCTAATAGATATATTCTAGAACGCCATTTAAAGCGCGATGAAGCCATCAAGCCTGGGAAGCCGCACGTCAAGATATTCATATCAGGAAAAGGCGCGAAGGCCAAAGACGAGAAAGTCTACTCCCGACAGGACATGGTTTCCTGCAAGTCCGTCGAGAACTGGTACCGTGAGGGGAGGGTCATTAAGGAAGGCGAGCAAGCCCTTAAGAAGGTGAAGCCGCGTGCTGCAACTCTCAATCGGAAACGGGAGATTGAGGATGCGCAGAGGGATGGGGAGACTGTATTGCAGGGACTTTATTCCTTGGGGCAGACGGAGTACGTGATCACGAGCTGTCACTCGGTTGGCTTTTCAAGTTTGCGATCTATTTGCTGATTGGCGCGCGGCTATGATAGAGAATATTCGCCACCGGATATTATCAACGGGGAGATTCCTAGGAATAAGTATGGGAACATAGATATTTATACCCAGTCTATGATTCCTGCTGGCGCGGTGCACTTGCCGTTGAAAGGGTCTGCGAGGGTCGCGAAGAAGTTGAAGATTAGCTACGCGGATGCTGTTACGGGGTTTGAGTTTATGAGTGAGTGTTTTATAATTTTTTGAGGCCTACAGGGGGTTCCGTTGCTATATCGGCTGAGAACTAATATCTGGGGGTTGAAGATCGGCGGGCAGCCCCATACATTGATGGAATAGTCATCGCTGCGGAAAATGAAGATATCGTCAGAGACGCCTGGGAAGAGGAACAAGTGCAAAGGAAGATCAAAGAGGACGGAAAGCGAGAGAAGGCCGCATTGACTCTATGGAGGAGGTTCATTGTTGGATTGAGAATTGTCCAGCGTTTACATGAAGTATATGAAGATGGTGATGGCATGGAAGAAGTCAACCCTTTCACTGCAAAAAAGTTTCGTGGGAAGGGGAAGGCTGTGCAGGGTGCCCATAACGAAGAAGGGGGGGGCGGTGGGTTCATTAACAGTGGTGCTAGTGATGATGAGCCCGGTGGTTTCACAAGAGGCAGCGAAGATGAAGACATGGAGATGAGTGGTGGCGGCGGCTTCCTTCTCGATATCGAGGAAGACCCCTCCGACAAGGCACCTATCCGGAAAAATTCCATCCCTACGCAAGCAATGTCAATGAGAGAAATGCTAGCGCAGAAGCAAAGGGATGCCCAATCGATCTTTGACTCCGAGGAAGAACCCGAGGATGCTAATGGCTCTATGGAGCCTAAATCTTCGCCCTTTGTCGATCAAACGCCGCCGGCTACAAGAAAGAGAGCTGGGAAGAAGAAAGACCCGGTAGTAGTAGTTGTCATGAAGAAGCCCGCTGAGCCGGCGAAGAAGAATCCGAAGCGCAAGGCAGCCCCAAAGACTGGGACGCGGAGCAAGTACTTTGTGGATGAACCTGCGAATGCCCCTGAAGAGGTTTTTACCCCGAGGAGGAGTTTGCGGAAGCGGGGGTGATTTTGCTATGATAGTTCTCGTTCACTCGCGCTTTCTACTTGTATGACATTGCTTATGTGTTGAATCGGATGGTGAGGTGGTGAGGTGATTTTTTATCGGGGAGTTGCGCCGGAAGGTCATGTCATTTTCCACTTGATTGTACTGTATAATACCATATCGTATTGTAGACAAACCGTAAAACCAACAAGAAAGCGTGTCAATCCATCCAAGAATGAACAGTTCATCTCTCCAGGCTCCAGATCTCCATATTAATAAACCTCCCTTGAAAACCCCCGATCGCATTCAGAAGTTCAATTAAGCTGCACCGTTGCCAAGCCCTTTTTTGCCCTCATCCATTCGTTCTGCCAAGACTTTTGCTCATCTCACGTGGCCTACCTCCGCTTCACCTGGCTTCCAGAACTCAAACAGGAGCGGAAGAGGAAAGGGGAGCAAAAGATAAAAAGAAAGAAAGCTATCATAAGAGAACCCCCCCCTGCCCACTTTATCACCATCATCATCATCATCATCATCACCACCCCCCCGCAATTTTCACTGCAGAAGCCCACCTGTCCCTTCCTTCCTTCCTTCCTTCCTTCCTTCCTTCTTTCTTTCTTGAGCAACCGAGTTACGACCCAATCGTCATTGTAACAGCCCCTCATTCATCCCTCCTATCATACCTGTCTGTCTCACTTGCTACGGTTGGTAAGTTAGCACACTACGGCAGTGGCAGTGGCAACCAACCGGTCGTCCATCTGGTTGGTTCGGTTCGCTTGTGACTTGTGCCTGCTTACTCACGCATACCAAAGTTGAGGCACGTATAATACGTTACCGGTGTCTAAGCTGGTTGTTTCCACCCCGCTCATCCACCTCCATTTTCCTCTTGTGTCCTGTCCACTCCGCTTTTCGAGAGCATTGGCGGACGTAAGGATACGATACGGTTGTTTCCCTCCGTTTTTTCTCCGGGTGGAAGGTTGAGGAGGGGTCTTTTTTTAAAAAAATCTCCGAGAAAAGATTGGGGGAAAGAGGGATCGAAAGGTGGGAGGAACGATGGTGAAGTTTTACGAGAATTCCTTTTCTTATGAGTGGGTCTTTGGTTCTTCTTGGAGTTGTGGTTCGCTGCTGATTGATGGATGAGTAGTTATCAATGGCCGGCGGTCACACTTGCTTACTTTTTGCGGTATCCTAAGTTTGTTCTTCCTCTTGCTTCCCCTCTTTCATCAATCTGCTAATGGAGGTGGTGGTGCAGTCCCTACTCAAAGCACGTGGTCTCAAGCGACACACTATCCTCCCACCTCGACTCTCGAACTGGCAATCTTCACGTTACCCGTCTACACCTCAAGCGCGGAAAACTCCCCGCATCGGTGGCCCGGTTCCTCCCCAAGATCAAGGAATCCTACATCCTCGAGAAGTCAATAGTGGATGTCAAGAACCAGCGATTGGAAACGGAGACCAGGAATCTGGATTGGGAGGGTGTGTTAAGCGTTGTCGAGAGTCAGGTGTATACCCCTGGCAGTGACTCCACTACCTCGGAACCGGAAGCAGCGACTGGGGCTGGCAAGACGGATGTGAGGACGATAGTCCGTTTCGAAAGTAGACTTGGTGGGGCCGCACGGAACACGCAGAGTGATGGGTTGGCGGGGGAGGAAGTGAGGGGTGGTTGGTTCTCGAATTGGACAACGGGTTCGGTGCAGAGGTCTGTTGAGCTTGTGGGCATGCGGAGAATGAGGGAGGGGTTTGGGAGGAGGAGGGAGGGGATGAAGGTCGTGCTTGAGCAACTACGTGAAACCGGGTTTGTCGGGGTTATAAGGGAACAGCGACAGGGGGGTTGGGAACGTTGGAAGCAGGTGTGGCGAGGGGAGGGTGTTGAAAGGATGGATGATTGATTTTGGGTTTTGGATTGATTTATCATCATCGTTGTTCCTGGGAAGGTTGTGGGGGGCTTGCGGGGCTTTGTGAAATCGTTCCTGGATTTGCTACTGCGTCTCCCCCCTTTTACGCAATGGAGGTAGATTCATGGGTTCTTTGCATGCTTACTTTATTTTTTGTTCTCTCCTCTCTGCTTCTAACGCCTAAGTAGCGATTCGTTTCGGTGAAGCCTTATGCATGAGGGGGTCGAACTTTGTACTATCTTCTTCTATTGTGTATTCTTCGGCATGTACTATATGGGTGGGTGGATGGGTGGGGCTCTTCGTGGGGTTTAGCGTTACTGGGAAAAACGAAACCAAATGGTCTCTCCGCTCTTCAATTGCTTGGATTTTTCCCATACATTACTCTCTCTGGTCGATGCAGTGATGAATGAACGAGGAGCGAGGGTTTCGGGTGGGGCTGGCTGGCTGAGTGGGTTGGCCGGGATTCTGATGTGGATGGGCGAATTTACTTGCCTCTTATTTGCTGGACATTGGATATGCCAACGATCGTACTTGGTTGGTACACTTGGGATTTCCGATAAGTATCGTGCATGTAAGACGCCCGGATAGCGAACTGGTCTAGGAAATGATTGGAGGTCTTTGAATGGTCCTTGTACTCGAGTAAGGCAATTTATTCGGTGTGTTACTTCGATCGCCCCGTTCGTTCTGTTTCTGTCAATCAATGGTGTGGTGCTGCGGGGCCCGGCCTTCTAGGCTGGTTCGCTATCCCAGAATTTTATATCGAGCTGGGTTGGCAGTCCGATTTGTAGTTTTGAGTTTGGTTGGGGGCGCAATGCCAGTGCTTCTAATAATGTGATACGGGTATATGCGAATAACTTGGCGTTGAATCAATACATTCCTTCCCTGCTGTCTGCCGTTATGCTTGAAGAACCTCGCGATTCGATCATTGGCACTGAACACCTGCTTAGCGGTCTTACTAACCACACTCAGAAAATGGCAAGAAAAGAGAGACGCAGTCACTCTAAGCTCCATCGTGGGCTCCAAGTTAGCGTTCTCGTGGAGACCAGCTAACTGTACTATCATATCACATCAGGTCCAGAGCATCTTTCTCAGTTGGCTATTTTGGCGAGTACGCATGGTACGTCTATCAGGGGAATACGGTAGAGAGCTGCACAGTACAGTACTGTACAAGGGCAATCCCAATCCTCAGACGGAGTGATGACGGGCTACATTCACCTCGTTCCGCATACATACATCGATCTGCCCACAGATCCTGTAAGTGGAGTAATACACGTTATGATAATTTATCGCATTATTCCCCAACGCCGGACAGATTATCTATCGTATGGAATTTTTTCTAACAGTGAGTAACTTCCACGCCCGGTGTCCACTTGAGGCTTCATCCAGTTTTTGGTCGGGGTTGTGTCAATTGTGTGCACGATCGCGCGTTTTGGGCGGTAAGGAGTGCCAAGACTATTGAAGTTGGAAAGCATGTTGAGGACTTTTTTCTCTTTTCTTTCTGTGATGTCTGATGTTTGCGTGGTTCGTGCATGTCTGTCGAAGGGGTGTAGGTTACCTCCGGGATCTTATAATAAATACGGGTATTGTGGATGGCATCTATCGTCGTTGTATGATATGATAATTATGATACTTGGGGGGGTTTTTTTTAACTTCTACGCAAAAACTTCTGCCTGTTCATTCCTTTTTTTCCTTGTATTATACTTGTCCTTTTCGGATTTTGTGGACTTTTCTTTACGTAAGTTACAAGTATTCACCTGTGTGTACCACACACAGTCTCATGAATATCAGAGAGGGAATCTTCTAATTATACAAGTGTTCTTTGTTTTCTTAGATTCTACCCTTATCTTGCCCTAGTCCTCGAGAATATTTTGCTCTTTCAACACTAATGACTTTCATTTTTTGGGATTTTTACCCTTACCCTCTTTAAAGTTTTTTTTTTTTCCGTTCCAACTGTCCCGGCTGTTTTTTTTTGGGACTGCCTTGTAATATAGAGTCTAATACGTGACTGACTTCTTCTGGAATGCGGGCTGGGTTGTGTGGATTTTTTTTGTTTCCGGGGTGGGGGGCAGAGAGAAAAGGGCTATATTGGATGTGCGGGAGTGAATTTATGTCCTTGAGTTGAAGGAGCGGGAGGGGAAAATGGGGTAAAATAGAATAAGATAAAGTCGAGGTCGGCATCATGTGGGAAGCCTCGGAAGGTCGACGAAGGGCAAGTTAGGCGGTGGGGAAGGGGGTGTGGTGGGGGGGAAAGCCAGGGGTCTGCACGGCGGATAATCACCAAATCCAACTGGTTGGCCTGGCTGGGCGAGTGAGGGTCTGTGAGTAGTTGCTCTGGAGTGGTTATTATTGGGCTGGCGGTGGTGGCGGGGGGCGGGAGGAGCTGCGGGTGTGCTAGTGCTGGAGGACTGGATGCTTTGCGATAGCGGATCTCGGTTATCTACTTCTCAGGGTTTACTGGTAGGAATAATAATAGATTCATATTTACTATAATAATTATTATTTGGGTGTAGGTTTGATGGAGGCACTGCGTCAAGACTGTCTTCATCCTCCCTCTGTTTGTGGTGTCTATCACAACTGCCTCCCCATCAATTGCTTTACACCTCTTGAGCCTGGGTCCTAAGTTTTATGTGAGCGTAGATACGGCACCGAAGGAGTCTCTTTTTTTCCTTTTTTTTTGGGCCTCTTCCAACTATCATACTCAAACCGGGCAGAGTTGATCCAATCTTAGACTAGCTACAAGTATGGAGCTAACATAATAAACACGGCCCTCAGACGTCACCCGTGAGGGGGAGACATCTTTAAAGCGTTCACTCCCAATCCTTGAAACGCCGCCTCATTGGATACGATAAATGTGGACACGTGCACTGTGAACTCGTACCGTAACGGCCGGGATAATTGGGCATCGCGCTGGGGTCTCCGGAATTTCCTCCATTGGATTACGGAGAGAAAAAAACGCGGGGGAACTGTTTCTCGGCCCGCGGCTGAGACAGCTATCGTACATAGGAAGACGAATAAGACCTTACTAGGAAAGGCAATTCCAACGTCCTAGCGTGGGATCTAATTGCTTCTCGTTTTCGCGGGGGATTCCTGCACAGTATATAAGGGTCTATAAATGTGCTACGGAGGCTACCTCCTTCCAAACCTCCAATCTCCAACAGTTTTTCCCTGTTTGTTGGCCCTGGTCTCCTTAATTTGCCTCAATTCCTGAGCGGGATAACCTTTGTCTTCCGTTCTGACACTTTCGGGCGGGGATAACATGTGGTTTGTCCGTTGGGACCGCTACCTTCGATTCGGTAGGTATGGGCAGGCGGTGGAGCTTTTTGAAGAAAATATGTTTGCATTTAAGCTATCATAGCTCCGAGAGATTATCTTCGGGGCGGAGCATTATAGGATTGGGGGGGGGGGGGGGGTGCTACCAGCCCCGGACGCGCGCGATGCGCTCGCAGGGCTGAGGTGTATCGCTGCTTTATTCGATTGGCCCTCCACCCCCGGAGTTGTGCGAAGGCTTCCTCGAGAATGATTTCTTACACAGGCAGTAACTTGCTAATCTCTAAGCGAGCAGTACACTCTTGACTGAAGAATTTGAATACTCGGAGCATTCGTGCTAATATTATTCGCGGTCTCCTTCCGTGCATTTACATCCTGGAGCAGAAGTGTAAACTGCGGGCGAGCGCGTTTGGCGAGGCTTGCCAGAAAACCATGCACCCTACGGTGATCGAATCTTTTGCTTTTAGGCAGCCACCAATCGCACAACGAGAGTAGCAATTTTTCTAGCTAAAATAGGTGCAACAGGAGCAGCACCAGCCCGTTATTCCTGCCCTTGACATGTGGCAGAAGATGGATGGCAGTTGTATCATAGCGGGGGGGGACAGCGAATATCAGGTGCGCTGCGAACAGCCTTGCCAAATCTGATGCCCTGCAGCTGGATTTTTGGTGTATCGTTCACCGTCCCCCTCCGTACTTCGTTCCTCCCGCTAGGTTAAGCTGCGCCCTCTGTTAAAACACGTTTACTCCCCCCTTCTCCAAACTCTTCTTTACTCTGCGGAAAATGATGGACCCTCTATCCGTGGTCTCGGGCATTGTCGGGACCGTGGCATTTGGGGTCAAGGTACTTTCAGCCTTGCGTGGATTAGCGGAGGGAGTTAGGTCAGCGCCGGAGGAACTAAAGCTTCTTACTCGGGAGGTCGAGGACCTCTGCAAGATCATGGACAATTTCCAGAAGAAGACGAAAGGACAGATTGTGAACCAGGATATTGAAGACGGCTCCCGGACTATCCTGGATATCTTCGAGCAACTCGGGCAATTGATAGCTGAGCATACCATTTCTGAGGAGGATGGGTTCCTCAGGAAAGGTTGGAAGCAAGTTAAATGGTGTTGCATCGAGAAGGGCATCACCGGTTTGCGCGCACATTTGAATTCGAGAAAGGGGAATTTGCTTGTTGCATTGGCGCTTGCAAATGAGTGAGCTGCTCCTCTTGCAGTAGGGATTTCTAGACTTCAAATAAGTGCTAATTGAGGGTAAAATGGGCCAGGCTTCAGAACGGCCATTCAAGCAGGAGACTGGAGAGGGTTCAAGGGACGCTCGAGGAAGTCGTTGACAGACTCCAAGATCATGGCATGCAAACCGTAGCTACCTGTGAGAGTTTTACATTGCAAAGGTGGAAAGAAGTTCCCTCCACGACTGCTCTTTCGTCACGTCCGACAACTCCGGATGGCCGGGTTTCTGTCGCTCCTTCGGAGTCTGGGATACTCTCAGAAGCAGGTTTCTCGGAACGGAGCATTCCGATGAGCGCATATCAGTATAATGAAATGGGGGCCAGAGGAATTGGGGTTCTGGTCTCTGACGGAACGCAGACTAAGGCGTACACAGTGAGGAATGCCAAGCAGAGGGGGGCAGCCGATTCGAAGCCTCCGGAGACGGGAGTTCCTAGATCAGGGTCTCCTGCAAGTTTCTCCACACCGCCAACCAGATCCTCAAAGTCAACACCACTTGTTAGTATACCGGAACCGGAGGAGGGAGACGGGGCTCAGGGTTGCAGAGACGACGGCAAACCGAAAGAGGCCCCAGTCATCCAAGCGTTTATCACAATCCCGAGCAAAATAGAGTGTCTAATGCCACGTGAGGCACTCCGCAACGCGCGGCATCATCTGGAGAATTTCCGTAAGCCTAGATCTAAGGCCGAGGAACTAGAGGGTGGTGGTGGGGCTGTGCATAAGTTACGGGATGCCTCTCTGGCAGTGATTCTAAATGCACCGCCGTTGCGGGTGCTGGCCTGCGAACCGGTGACCCGCCACGAATCTCGTAAACTTGCGGTGGAGAGGTTTTTGCAAGTACTGAAGACCTCTCCGGATTTGACGTCCGGGAATCTGTTTGGAGGCCCGGGGAATATTCGGAAGCCACTGGTAAGGGTCTCATCACCCGGCACTTTTAGCCATTCTAACCAAAAGGTTTAGAAAGAGAAGACATATGCTATATGCCACCTTGTTGTCCCGATGTCCTTATCGCTAGCGATGTATTCTCAGATGATTCAATCTTCCTGGAAAAAGCCGGCCCGCCGACGTTATCAAAAGATGATTTCTTTCCGCTCCAAGCCGACGGACGCGCCCGATCAGTTAGGCAGGCCAGTGGGGAGTGGTCTTACAACCATGCTCACCCCGGGAAGGTAGTTACGCAGTTCCTGGAAGGTCTACTCGTATTGTGTCGAGTTTTTAGAGGATGGGTTAAGTATTGGCGGAAATCACACGTCGGGGGGGGGGGGGGGGTTGTGTGACATTGTAATTTAGCAACTGGTAACGCTGATAGAGGTAGTGCTGGAGGGTTGTATCCACATTCTTGGAACAGTTGTAGGGGGCAGGGTTACTGTGCTTGTACTAACACTCAGGATAAATATGATGGGATACTCAAGTACGAGTGCTCTAACCGGCACTCATGGACATAGCATTTCTTATTGTACATATTATTATGGAACTTGATATACGAGCATATTTGGGAGTTAAGCATAGCGTTTCAAACCATGAATGGCTAAAGCGAATGGGGGCAAAAGGGAAAGTAGTGTATCTTGACGGGAGAGAGTGTAGGGATTTTTTGATAAATGTGACCGTCAATGAAGGTAGAGCCTAGCCGGCGCCAAGGGGGAGTACGCTTTAAAAGTACGATTCCTGATCCTTTTTGATTCTTGCCGCAGAGCATCTTCCCTTTGCCACGCAGTACCTAGCGCCAAATTCCATATCTCCGGCTGGGCCCAGATATTGTGGATAATACGGATAGGGGCATTATCTGGCCTTTAACACTACTACTACTACCGCTCTAGAGGTAAACTCCTTAGAGCCTGTTTGGCATTGACGGAAGGGGTGAGGACCGTTCTGCTGTGAAATGGTTTGACTTGGAGAAATGGTTGTGGCCATTTCATACCACCTGCTCTCAATGGTCACCCCTTTCGTTGCTATGGAGAAACACTTTGGAAAACTTTCACCAAGGACTTGTGATGTTTGAAACCTTCCAGTGCAAATCGATCCTACAGCTCACATCTCAAACATCACAAATCTCTCTCTCTCCCTCCTGGCTACCTGTCAGAATTGACTACTCTGGCTCACCCAGCCAAGCTCTCAAGAGCTGTTACTCCTAGTCTAGAATTAGTATTTCTTGATTATTTGACTTTCCAGTCTTCAAGTTCATGGCTTTTGCCTGCTCAAACTATCCTTCTGTTCCAGCTATCCAGCATTCTGGTTTGAGACTTCTCTCCAGCTCTACCAATTTATCTTTTCCTGACTCTGACAATTCTACTGGCCCTCATTCTAGTTCTGCAGCTCTTTCACCCCTAGGACTTGGTATCTAGCACACCGGTTGTTCTCAGCCAATACTGCTACTTTTACTACCTTTCTAGTTACTACCTTGCAGAATCCTATTTTACCAATTCTATTTGCAATCAGAAGCTGACACTCTTCATCCCATCCATCAATTCTACTTCAGCACTCTGGTTTGGACTTCCATTTTCTAACTCAGAGGCAAAGGAGGAGTATGATGTAGAGAAGCTCTTTAGACTTCAACTACTACCTCATCAACTGTATCCAAATTTATCAATTCAAAAATACAAAGTAGTAATCAATTGAGTTTTAGTCCTCATATAAATAAGAAAGACCTTTTAGCATATAAGTATTACTAGTAGTAGTATAGATTTTTGTAGTAATAATAGTGGTAAACAGTCTAAATTAGCTGTTCTTTTATACTTAAAGTATAATATTGTAATATAGTTATTTAGTATAGTAAGAGGTAGTTACATATTTAAGTTGATAAAAGCTATTATCAACCTTGTTCTTTCAGTACTGAAATAATAGTACTAGTATAGGAATATACAAAACTTGAATACTAATATATTTAAGGAATAGTATTTTCTTATTTCAACATAGGTTATTTTTAAGAGGAATATTACTTATAGTTTCTGGCACCTCTTGATACTCTAGTTGTTTTCCCTACTGTTTTGAGGACTCTCTAATACTCTAGCTATTTTACTTGTTGTTTTGAGTATTCTTTAATACTTAGAATATTTGATATACTATTGTCTGATCTAAAAAAAAAATTGGGATTACAATCCTGTCAGACATAAACAGAAATGTATTTAAAGACTGATAATTTCTACAGTAGACTTTGACTGACAGTATCTCTAATATACTTGGTTGAACAGTTACTTCTCTAAGTTCCTATCACTATTCCTATTTCTTAGAGTTCTCTTTAGTACTAGTACAGTAGTTCCTGTAAGTTGTAGATCAGCTTGTACTAGTATACTACTTCTATTGTACCTAAAGCATGATTAGTACCCTTGTACAAATATATAATATTAAATAGAACCTTAAAATCTATAAAGTAAATCATGACTATTAGTTTCTCAAATTTAGTGTTATATAATACAGGCCAGTAGTTCTTACCTGGTTCTATAATATTCTGAATTTTTTTTTTTTGAATTTCAGTGTTACTCTCATGCAGTTTCTAATTAATTATTACATAGTAATGGAATAGATACAATATATATACTATCCTATCTTATATATTAAAAGCTAGATATTTAAGAGACATCAGTTGAAGCATTGATAATACCTAGGCTACTGACATACCTGTGGCAGTTCAGTAACCGGGCATCTGTAATAGGGTGCAGTCGGATAACTCCTAGTGATTTATGTAGTCGCTTGATATGAGAGATTTATGATGTGGAAACATGTCTTAGAGGAGCATCCCTTATGTCATGGAAAATATAACGCAAAGGGCATGTTTCTCAAAGTAGATAGTGCTATCTGGCCGGCTGTTTCCTATGACTTGCCTAGTACTCCAACCAGGCACTTTTTTTTTTTTTTCATTTCTACATTTTATGAGATATAATTGAAGGGTATCCCTTGTACGTTAGAGGTGAAGCTACCAGTTGTTCTTTATTTGTGTGTAATGAATCCTGCGGCATAGAGACCCACGCGCAGGTTTGAGTGATATAGTAGGTTGAGCTCTGGTCAAGATTGTAATGACGGTTAGCATTTTTTGTGCACAGCTCAATATTCCCTGGACTATGTCAGGTGGGGTCACACTTGAAGAGGTGACATCTTGCTAACTTGACTCTCAGTCTGAGAAAAACGCAGTCGTAAGTTGTGTTGGCTGATGGGTTGGTGACTCTGCCCCGTTGCCGTTGCCGGATAGTAATAATGGAAGCACGGGAGAGAAATACTTGTGAGAAAGGTGCTCGTAGATTTTCAGGAATGGGTGGCTAAATTTTGGGGTATTGGCTACTTCAAATATCCTCATAGTATGGTACCTGAATGCTCGGTTTGGTTTGCGAACTCATCTGTTCCGTATAGGGCTGGAGAATTCGCTACAGGTGCTCCTCTTGGCAAGTAATGAGATGTGAGATTCAAGGCATTCTTTCCACAGGTAACGCACATCCCGTTCTCCTTATCAAAGGAGAGGACGTTACCCGGATACATAAAAACTGTAACTTCGCCATAAATTATCACTCGCACGTTCACCTCCCAATCGGGCTTAGCCAGCTGTTTCATCTTCGGTAGGGTTACACGCACCATCCCGACCACTCTGACGAGAAAAGTGAAAAGGAAAAACAAAACACTGTCACTTTCACTTTCCCATCCCCCTCAATCAACTCTACCTCCGGCACCAATTGGAAATGGGTTTCGATAGCAAACAAAAAAAGCGCAAGGGTAATTAATCAGTTCCTCCCCTTCTCCCGTCCTAACTAAAAATTGTGACTAGCCGCAAAACCCGCCCTCTCCCCAATCGCGAAAAAGACAAAGGTCGATGCGGACAGAAAAAAGAAATCTGCTACGACCGCGCCCATCGACGTCACTGCCTCTGCCGTAAAGCCCTCTCCAAAGAGGATGAAGGCTGTTGACTTCCTTTCATCTGATGACGACGACGAGGAAGCCTGGGCTGGGATTGTTGATGACAAGGGAAAGGGGAAGGCTGCCAAAGCTAATAAGAAAGAGAATGTGAAAAAGAAGGGGAAGAAGGAGAAAAGGGTCGAGGCTAAAGAGACTAAGACCGCCGAACCCGAAAAGAAGGTTTCCGCCACTTCTACTGACGCCGGAGACGATGGTGTCAGTCCTGATGGCGAGGAAGAGGAAACGATACTGCTTGATGCCTCTGGCGGCCCCGATTCGGATGATTCTGAAGCCGAGGAGGCCGACGATCATACAATGACCCTACTGAAAGGGTTTGAGAGCAGTGACGATGAAGAATGGGACGAGAGGGGGGCGGGGAACAGTAAATTGAAGGAAATTGATGGAGCGAGGTTCAAAGGAGCCAAGATCCCTGGGGACAATAAGACAAAAAAGAAGCTGGGGGCTTTGGTGGGGAGAGTGAAGGTTTGTTCAATTCTTTATATTTTCTACCCTTTCCAATTGCATCAATCGGGACGAGCTTTTCTTCCCTATGGCATCTATGATGAGAAAAAAATAAAAATCGATTAGTCTTTAAGACACCTACATGGTTACTAAACCCGATATTTGAGTTGCTTTTTCCTCTACTCGATTATGCTCTTTTCCATAGCCTACATAGCGCAAAACTAATCCGCACCCCCTCCCAGTCAATCCCCGGCATCATCTACCTCGGCCGCATCCCCCACGGCTTCTACGAACACGAGATGCGCTCCTACTTTTCACAATTCGGCGAAATCACCCGTCTTCGCCTCTCGCGCAACAAACGCACCGGAAAGAGCAAGCACTACGCCTTCATCGAGTTCGCGGATGCCGACGTAGCCACGATCGTCGCAGACACGATGAACAACTATCTCCTCTTCGGCCACATCCTCAAGTGCAAAATCGTACCTAGGGACGACATCGAAGTTGCCGAGAAGCTGTTTATCGGCGCTAACAAGCGCTTCAAACCCAGACCTGGCGCAAAGTTGCAGAAGGCGGAGCTCAAGAAGAAAAGGACGAGAGAGGAGTGGGAGAAGAAGGAGAAGACTGAGAATGCTAAGCGGAAGGGGATCAACAAGAGGTTGAAGAGTAAGGGGATTGACTATGAGTTTGATGCTCCGATGGTTAAGACACCGGTTCCTAAGGATGCGCTAATAGAAGATGCGACGAAAGCTGTTGAGGCGCCGCCAACTGAGGAGGTTGAAGCAATAGAGGCTGCGGTAGAGGTTGAGAAGACTGTCACTCCCACTGCAAACGAAGCCGCCAAAAAGGCTGACATGGAAGAGACCGTTGAGAAGGTTGAGGAGGTTGAGGTCGAAGAGAAGGTCGCTAAGAAGGCGAAGAAAGCAAAGACCAAGAAGCCGACCAAGAAAAAGAAGTCTTCTGTAGGGGTATAATTTGTATTCGGGAGTCAAAACTTCTTTTTGTCTGCATTTCTCTCTCTTGGACTGTAATAGTACATAAGGCCATTCACATCCTAATTAATGCCGGAGCATGCCTGCATTATAATCGAGATGCTGTCAGCACGATAAAAGACATTGATTAGTTCTGATATCGATTGAAAGATATGTGATTTTTAAGGACTTGAATAACGTCGAAAACTTTCATGCTTCGCTCCATGTTTTGTGCCGGGTATCGTAGATCTGAACTAACCACGATACCGGAAGATAAGCATAGGCTCGTCTTAGGGCTAAGATGCAGGGCAACGCTGACACTGGGGTCTCGCATCACTCATTTCCCCCCCCATTTTTTTTCTTTTTTCATTTTCATTCGAGAATACAACCTCAAAAATTTAATCTTCACTTCACCACCGCGAATTTCCTTGATTCTCCGTTGGGGCGATATACACTATACCTGCTTGCCACAATGGCGCGCTCACTACTAGCCCACCTCACTCGCACAATCCCGCGAAAATCTCTCTTCAAAGATTCCCTGAATCCGTGCACCCCGGCATCAAGGCGAGGCATAAATGTCATCAGATACGCCCCAACACAACACCCCAGGGGTCCCAAGAAATCGCATGAGGTGGACTGGAAATTAATACCGCGAGCAGAGCACAGGATTCAATGGAGACACTTGGTAGTAAAGTACATTGATACCCATACGCATTTGCATTCTACGCTTCAGCAGATGAAGGATGTTTGTAGATCTTCCCTCCATGAGTTTTGTTTTATTTTATTTTATTCTCCCTACTATCCATCCGGGGGCGATTGGATTCGCTAATGGGACCTCCGGGGGGGGGTGTTTGTTAGGCATTCAATGATGGGTCAGTACCGGGTACTAGAATTGACAGCTTCGTGGAGAACTTCTTTCCGGAGCAGTGCACCACGGTGGTGGACGTCTTGGGGAACATGGAAAATCCGGAATTATACGCTTCGGCGGTGAGGCTGCAATGGCGGGAGGGATTTAATTACTAGTGTGCACCTCCACCCCTCGCTAGGGACCATCTAACATCCCCGACAGTTTTGCCATCGGTGCGCACCCCTATAACGCCACAGACTACAACAATATCACCCACGGCTCAATCCTCAGAACCCTCGAACACGAACAATGTGTTGCCCTAGGCGAGTGCGGGCTGGACTACTTCCGCACGGACTCGGGGACCTGGCCCACCCAGCGGCAAGTCTTCATCCGCCAACTCAGAGCTGCAGTCCCCATCCGGAAGCCAATTCTGATCTACACCCGTGACGCCGAGCGTGACACATTCTCAATCCTACACGACCATGTACCCGCCGATCACAAACTGCACATACAATCGTTCACAGGCTCGCGGGAGTTCGGGCTGAAGGTGTTAGATCACTGGCCAAACAGCACTCTAGGCATCACGGGTGCGATAACATATAGCGGGTCGCAGCACATTGCGGAGATGATCGAGAATGATGAGCTTCCGCTAAATAGGATAATGCTAGGGAGTAAGAGCCCGTTTATCGTCCCAAAGCATATTTATCCATATATCGCGAAGACCACACGGCCGAAGTTGAAGAAGGAGAAGCTTGCCATTGGACACTCTGGGATGCTGCCTATTGTTGCAGAGGTGGTCGCTGGGCTTGCCAATAAGGCTTTGAGGAAGAAGGGGAGACGGATGGTGGACGGTTACATGCACAAGATGGATAGTATCCTCAAGAATTCAAATGAGGTTGCGGAGAAGTTTTTTGGGATCAAAGTGTAGGAAGAAGAAGGCGGGGGGAACGGGGGCGGGGTGTTCTCGTTCGATTGTATCCATAGATAGACTTAAGACCCCTAGTATTTGGTGGCTTCTTGTTTTATATTCTCGCTTCCGATTCTTTCTGGGAATATTTTATCGGTGGGGGGATTTCTCAGTTGCTAGGCCTTATACTATCTCCCCAATATTACTCTGTACTTTTTACCTTGAAAATACGCTGATAGATCTACCAAAGCTCGGGCTGCTTCTATTTAAACCCGTCCCTTGAGCTCCTATTCGCCCCGCCTTATTTCCACTCTGCTCGTTCCTTCAAATTGCCATTTCTCAACCTCAATGCCCTTGATCTGACTATCTCTTTCACATGTGCTTTATTGGTGCTAGTTTCTATGGGAAACAAACATCCTCTCGACCTTGTCTGTCCGTTATCTCATCGACAGCAGTGTGCTATCGACGGCGTTGTTCGGACAATGTATGTGTTCGAACAAACCCACTACCGAGCCACATACTTCAAATCTTTTATTGGCTAAGCTAGATCCCTCCCTACCCGGCATATGGACCCAAACGGCAATGCATCCCAGTGGCAAGCCAACACCACCCCGAAACCCAACAATAACCCACAAATTATACACCGTAAAAACTTGAATAATTGGACAGTGTGCCGAGCGGTTAAATTAGAGTGTGTTTTGCCAAGCGGTCATCATGTACATTAGTCAATATAGATTTCACAGATTCTTGGCAGCTATTGATAGTGGAAATCTATTTCTTTCAAAGTCCTCAACCTCTTCCTTATCCCACAGACCAATCTCTTCCTCCACAAACCCCCTACTCCCTTCCACCCCTCCAATTCCCTCAATCTCCCATTCCCTTAGCCCCTCAACAAGGTAATCATTTGCTAACCCTCAAATAGAGAGTTCATGGTCTTCACTCCCATCGATTGGGAGTGAAAGGCTGATAGCTTGAAAAGCCCACTGAACTACCTCTACCTTTTCAGCAGAAAACTGCTCCAAGGCCTTTAGGATTCGTTACGGGACCCTGTTTCTGAGGAGCCCGGACAAAATAACCTAGGCTATTCTGATTAACCTGGTGAAAAAATTATCCAAATTGGACAGAACCTGAAGGAGCTAGAGTGATTTGAAGTTGCTAAACTTTAAAGAGCCTGTAATGAATACTACCTAATAGCATATATAAATGCTTGTAAAAAAAGTATCATAAGTTTAATTTTAAGGAAAAGTCTACTGTTTCTAATCCAAATAAGTTAGCAAACCAACTACAGCAAAGCTCCGACACTCAGACTTGATCACCATATTCAGGAAGAACTTGCCATTAATAAGTTTACAAGTCAACAGTATAATTTAAAGTTAGAGAACTATAGTAAAGAAATCACAAGCTCAGACTGGAAAAGGAGTTCATATCCTCTTAGTCAAGACAGAACTTCATAGACTTCAAAGCCAAATAGAGAAATAATTTATAAAGTCTAGAAAATTTACATATAGCTTACAAGTCTAGAAATTGTGAATTAGTACACATATAATAGAAATTAGATATAGCTTATAACTACTCAAATGTGGAGTATAAGTATTCAAGTACCTTCTTAGCTTTCAGATATCATCAGTGAATAGAGAAGAGATCATAATGTTATTAATATATTCATTATACTGTAATACCTATTCTATTGTAAACTTTCTTGACTACTCTTCAAGAAACCTTACTAGCTTTAGTTATAACTTCCTTATTCCTAGAGTTAGCTACCATCTAATATACAGGCTATCAGAAACTAGATACCCATTCTCCTTTAGCTTTTGAATACAACTCTTATAAATATATTTCTAATTGCTTAATAGTAAATAGGTAGATTATGCAATTCTTTTTGGTAAAGATATTCAGGATTTTAAGAAAGGCTAGCCCAGAATCTTATAGAGGAAGGCTATTAGCAGTTACATTTAGGATAAGTCTAATAGCTTCAGTCTACCAGTGATAAGGTTAAACCTCAGGCTCTAGTTCTAAGTGTAACTAACAATACCAGCTATGTGATGAGATATATTACCAAACTTGAAGTTAGTGTCTTACCTCTATCCTGAATCATCAGACTATAAGACTTTTCACTATATTCCTTGTAGCCCATGAGGTAAAATATAATATTTTGATTTTATTTGTAGTTATTGTACAATTGTTGTATTTAGTGTTCCACTTTATAAAACTATTGTTTTAACACATTTCACTCTCTTGAGTAGCCTGGAGTTCTTTTCTGCTTTATTTTCCCCTTGGTATCTATTTGTAACGGGGAGGACGGAGCTGGGAGTAGCCAAGGGGTGTTGAGAGTTGGGGCGAGGAACGAGCGTGCTATCGCAAGCAAATGTAGAACAGGACCGGGACAAGATACACGGGTGGGAGCTAGGAGGGCAGGCGAGGACAAGGATCCAATAGCTGGATGGGAGGCAGAGTAATAAAGGACCGTGATATCAGAGAGTAAGGAGGAGGACTGGAAAGAAGATATCTTTAGGTTGTAAGAATACAAAGATACAAACTAAAGAGCAAAGGAAAAGAAGAAAGGAAAGTATATAAAAACAAGTACCTTAGTACTTTTTTACCAAACAAACAAAACATAGTGCTAGGGCTACCCATCGGTCTTTGTGCTTACATCAAGTACTAACCTATACCTCAAGCCATAGCTCAACTTTTACTTAGTATTAACCAGAAACCATAACACTATTGCACTTACTTGAGTATATGGGGTTAATCATTTCTTCTTTTGTTTTAATGCTTACAACTAGTTGCTACTCAATTCATATATATGTATATATAAGATTGATAATCCCTGCATTCACACAATACTTAGGGTGCGTAAACGAGAATATAGGATAAGGGATCTGTAAATATACTTTTTATCATATCATAATAAGAGTTAGTATAATCTAATAGAATATAAAAATTATTAATATAAGCCTAGTAGTAGACTACTAATTTCTATAATAATATTATGTAAACTACAACTGTAGAGTTCATTAAGGGGACTCCAGCGCCCTGAAAATATCGGGCCCTTGGCCCCCGTCCCCGCCCTGCCCCGGTAATTGGCCTGGGGCGGGGTATATCTCTTCGGCTCTCCTGAGCCCGCCCCGTAACGAAGGCTAGGTATCCCAGCAGCTATGAATATAAATAAATAGCAGGAACTTGAAGTTTCATTCGGACACTACAAGTAGTTCTGTGGTGGTTGGAGCCAGGCCACAGCCACCCCTGGAAAGAGTGAGAATCTTATAAATAGAGGAATCCCAGGAGGAGGAGGAGGAAGCAAAGAACGATCTCAAACTGCCCAAAAGGGCTAAAAGCTTTGGTAGGGAGACACTACGCTCCCCGCTTCTAACACGACCATGAAATACTGACCAGAGACTCGGATGTCTGCTTACTGATCCTAAAAACAGGCAGGTAAATCCCGCAGCAATGATGCTCCCTCGAACTCGCAAAGCAAGTAGTAAGTCTTTAGCTCTCAAAAGCAAACCGTAGACAGCTAGCCCGGTCAATCACTACCGGATACTCATTATGATTCCACCACCAATAAAACTCCCTCGGCCCTGCTCTCTCTCTCTCTCTC